TAAAAGTGGTTTACATTTGACAACTGATTTGCATGATCCATTGTTTACTGCTTTATCACCAGAGTCTTGTCCTTGAGCTCTGGAGCTGCACCATCAAATACAAATATTGGCTTTATTATATGGGACAGCAGCTTGCAGGTGGACGTGAACAATCCGCCAAGGTATGCTGTGGCCAGAGGATTACCATGCTTGCACCGCATTCCCTTTACAGACTGATTCAGCAGCAAACTAACATCTGGTCATCAGGATCAAGGTTATAGAAGACTAATATAAAGATGAACTGATTATATACCAGATCCTAAATTTTAACACAACGCGATAAAAGCAATGACTTCCCCCCCCTCTACAGTTTAATTCCATTTAGCATGGTAAGCTAAATCGTAACTCACATCAAAATAAACTCTAAATCAGTGAATCCTTTTATTTCTGATCAGTTCACGTGCAGCATGAGATTATTTCAGAGGGTAAAATGTATCATAACTAGAAGTAAATTAACTTATATATTAATGTGATCTAAAGACAGCAAGGATACCAACTCCGATAGTCTTGTTCTCAAGCGTCTCTCGTGTAACAGGCCGTCCCACCGGCTCTAATAATTCCCACAGTCCCTTGCGACTCCCGTACTGATCAGCTGATGCCCCAACACGAACTTGCTTCTTTACATCTAGATTTTGTTGTCACTGGATTGTCGAGTTACTGGATTGCCACTGGATTTAACCCAGAAATAACCATCTATGGAACTACAATGAATGTCTCGGTAAGTTTTCTCCTGAAGGGACTGGAGATCACGATCTGATGGCGTTAAATGTCCTGATCAAGTAATGGAACCGCGAAAATGTACACGAGGGTGGAACTGGAACTTTCGCGAAATTACATTCTGTGACCTTGTTAATGAACAACACGGATTAACCAGTTAAAAATAACTCGGCCATGACGGTCACGATCTGAGCGGGGCCATTAACCCGACAATATCTTGTAGGCATGGATGTTCGGAGGATCTCGTTGGGTAAAATGACTTCCACGCCAAGTATTTATCAGTACTTTGTCCTTGTCAGCGCATCTTTGTGAAAGATTACAGGAGTGAATCTATTCGGTCACGTCATGACCAATGAACCCTTCTCTAGGATCCGGACAGAACCGTCCGAAATCAACTGGCAACATTAGTTCTGTTTGTAATACTTGTATCTCCCACAGCGACGTTCATAAGACTGAGAAATGTGCCGACATCTACAACTGGAAAAGTGCAATGACATTTACTGCACTTTTCCCCGTCCCCACTAAGGGTTAGCACCTTTTGCTCTTTGCCAGAAAGGATTATTGTAAATCAAACCAACTATAGACTCCATCTCAACGAGATGTAGATCTACCAAAGTTTTTTCCAAAATCTGTTTGTCTGTGTGTTTTTTAATTAATTTAAGACAAATGTATTACAGATATTATTATACATTGTAGTTACCATCTGTCTTCTTATTGGCTAAAAGCCCTCAGTTAATTCTGGGAAACAGCGCAACCTACAGATTATTCACTAATCTGTACCTACAGATTAGTGAATAAATCTGTAGGTTGCGCGCGCAATGCATGATTTCTGAAGTAAGAATGGCTTCTCGATTANTGTCTCGGTAAGTTTTCTCCTGAAGCGACTGGGGATCACGATCTGATCGCGTTAAATGTCCTGATCAAGTAATGGAACCGCGAAAATGTACACGAGGGTGGAACTGGAACTTTCGCGAAATTACATTCTGTGACCTCGTTAATGAACAACACGGATTAACCAGTTAAAAATAACTCGGCCATGACGGTCACGATCTGAGCGGGGCCATTAACCCGACAATATCTTGTAGGCATGGATGTTCGGAGGATCTCGTTGGGTAAAATGACTTCCACGCCAAGTATTTATTAGTACTCCGTCCTTGTCAGCGCATCTTTGTGAAGGATTACATGAGTGAATTTATTCGGTCACGTCATGACCGCTGAACCCTTCTCTAGGATCCGGACAGAACCGTCCGAAATCAACTGGCAACATTAGTTCTGTTTGAAATACTTGTATCTCCAACAGCGACGTTCATAAGACTGAGAAATGTGCCGACATCTACAACTGGAAAAGTGAAATGAATTTTACTGCACTTTTCCCCGTCCCCACTGAGGGTTGGCACCTTGTGCTCTTTGCCAGAAAGGATTATTGTAAATCAAACCAACTATAGACTCCATCTCAACGAGATGTAGATCTACCAAAGTTTTTTCCAAAATGTGTTTGTCTGTGTGTTTTTTAATTAATTTAAGACAAATGTATTACAGATATTATTATACATTGTAGTTACCATCTGCCCTTATATTGGCTAAAAGCCCTCAGTTAATTCTGGGAAACAGCGCAACCTACAGATTATTCACTAATCTGTACCTACAGATTAGTGAATAAATCTGTAGGTTGCGCGCGCAATGCATGATTTCTGAAGTAAGAATGGCTTCTCGATTATCTTCATCGACCCAGACAGTTATTGAGAAATTACTTGACGATAAAGATTCGGAAAATACTAAAAGATCGACAGTTTTCTTCAATGATACTTTCTTTAGAAATGCATTTAAATTTTCTGCACTTGATTGTTTTACAAAAACGGTGAGAATTTGTTTACTACACAGTTGTACATTTTTAAGTGTTCGAAAATAAACTGTGTTCGCTGCGACAATGCGTTTGGCGTTATCTTCTTTGAAGCAATGTATAAGAAAACAATTATTGGATTCGGTTTTTGTGATATCCGGAATAATCAATGTCTCGGTTAGTGTTGGCATAGGGTAAAATATCGACTGCACTGGACTATTTTTTGGACCATTTTTTCGACCCTTTTTTGGACCAGTTTTTGGACCATTTTAAGGAAGCACACCATTAGTACTTAGGGAGGGGTGGGTGCAGTCTATAAGTACTGAGGGAGGGGTGAGAAGCCGACTGTTATTACTAAGGGAGGGGCGGGAGGTGGTTGTAATTGTAAACACTACTGGTTAATGGAGCTTTAACTCGATCGTACAAATTATTTTAATCGGTCTTAAACCAGTTGCTATAATGATGGAATACGAGTATTTTGATTTCCTGCCATTCGGTCTTGATGTTTAGGTTTAGATCTCCTCGAATTATTGCCTCGCCTCGATAGTATACAAAGCCTTTCAACATTTTTTCCCGCTTTTTCTCAAGGCAGTGATTGATATCGCCGAGGGACTTGAATTTTTGCATTCAAGGAAGGTGGTACGCCACGAATGTCTTTTTCGGTAGCCATATGTGGTTTGTCCGCGCTCAACGTTGGACTTCTGCACGTAAACCAACGTTCTCTTCGAAATGTCGAAAACAAATTTTTCGAGGTTTGCGTTTTCGAGGTCTACGTTTTATAGGTCTGCGTTTTAGAGGTCTGCGTTTTAGAGGTCTGCGTTTTCGAGGTCTGTGTTTTCGAGACACCCGAGAGAAGGTTGTTTTGTACGACTGTACCAACAATGAATTTATATAGTAAACGTATAAAAGTTAAAATTGCGATTGCGGTTGTGAATTCTATATTCGGCTAAGGACCGGAAATTCCGTGATCTCGTCTGATGACATCAGTCACAAAGGAAGATAGATAAATCTGGTAATTACATAATTTATACACAAAGGAAAACTGATGGTGCAAAAGTCGCCTGAAAAGGCACACGCATAACCTATGCCAGACTGGTAACTCAACAGTGGAGGATCGTAAACACGATATTTTCAAAAAAAAATTTAGGTCCAGTGTTTACGTGGCAGTTCGCTTTCGCATGACAAAAAAATGAATTCACGCCACGGCCCAGCGCAAAAACTTGGATATACAAAAAGTCAGTCGAAAAACCGATCAAAGTAATTTGCACGATCGAATAAAAGCTCCATTAACCAGTAGTGTTTATAATCACAACCACCTCCCACCCTGCACCCACCCCTCCCTGAATACTAATGGTGTGCTTCTCCCCTTATAAAATGGTCCAAAATATGGTCCAAAAAATAGTCCAGTCCAGTCTATATTTTACCCTATGCCGTTAGTGTTATCAGCCTCAACCTTCGACTTCGCCTGATAACACTTACCTCAACCTTGATTATTCCGGATGTTACAAAAACCTCATCCAGTACTTGTTTATTATCATATGGATTACCCTACTTCCTTGGTCACGTCTGAAATTTATTATTTTTCAACGGGTTAAGCTGTTGTTGTTTATTTCAACCTTTTCTAAAATTTATAACGAGTGATCAGGTGTAAAATATAATTAATTCAATTTTTTCAATTCGCTTTCGCATGAATTATCTGTTTGTCTAGCTACGCGAAACTCTTCTAAAAAGCATTTATTTCACTTCCTGCTGAATTCTCCCCCAGCAAAATAATTCCATTTAGAAAGGCTGAACTGACATCAACGAACAAAGACCTGAAGACAACCTGTCAAGGAAACTTCATTCAGACCCAACAACTAATTGAAATGAAAGACAGGCGGGATATAATCCATGCATAATATACCTTCTATAGATTGTTTCGTCTAACCAACAGTCATGGCTACGCAGTAAACAGCTGCAGCTGTGTCGCTGATGGGAACTACAGCTCGTATTTTCGCTAAAGGCTACTCCAGAAATGAGTTCAAGTTGAGAAGTTTTAGTCTAGTTACGAGTTAAAGGAAGTGTTATTACAAGCTGCGAAGATTATTACATTGTGCAACAGTACAAGATATGGCTTCGAAAGCGACATTTGTATTATTATTCCTGTTAGGTAATGTACGTTTTTCCGCCGAAGACAATCCCAAAATTTCGGCTCGTTTTTCCTTTTTTGAGAATAAGAGGCTGAAAGGATATGTTGCTAGACGGTTTGATTCACGCAGTTTGTTGTCATGCGGTCAGCAATGTCTCAGAAACACTTGGTGTACTTCCACCAACTTCAAGTTTGTCTTAAAGAGGAAAGGCGAAGGAACCTGTGAACTGAACAAGCATGAGATGTCCATTGTTAACGAAAACAACAATTTTTCTGACGACGAAGGAACGACTTTCTCGCTGTTACATAAGGTCAGAATCAACATTATATGTTCTCTGATAATCTTATGGAACGGTCACCATCTACCGTCAAGGGGGGGAGGGGTTAGAGGTCTTTTGTGTCACGAAAAAGTATCCCCTTAAGCTCTGTAATATTCTTTAGACTCCTCCTTCCCCACTCCCCCTAATAATAAGCAGTTATTGACAGTCAGTTTAAACTACAGCCCCCCCGCCCTTTAAAATCTGTTGGTGACGACTGAATAAGACGGGAAAATAAGTAGAAAGCTACAACGAGACAAAAACTTACCAAATACTCAGGAAATCTAGGAAAAACAATACGGTTACACGGAAAGGGTTTAAACAGAACCAAAAATAAACTGAATATGGCACTTTGGGAAACGCGAAAATAACGGTGGATAAATGAATAAGTGAAAACGAGAAAAGAATGCGCGTAAATTAATAAGTCTCAGAAGCATACGAAATGTGAAAGAAAATCGAGAAATTATCAATTCGCCTCAACCCATGTGTATAAACCGAAAAATCCCCCCCCTCCTTGTTATAAGTTAAAACCAGCTATAATGATGCACTGACGGTACATCATCACATATTTTTAAAATACTCGCATTTTGCTCGTAATTTAATGGGAAAGGTGGACGATTCTCTATCATAAGGAAACCTCTAGATTAACAAACATCAGTTGTCATAATTCTTCGTCCTTTTTCACATTTAGTTCAGTCGCGAATCTTGAGGTATCTGAGGGAAGGGCTGAAAAAATAGAGCCTTGAAGATGTTTATGATTTAATCAAACGCCTCTTGGCTAAAAATTCGTTTTTCAATCATCTACACATTTCTCGATATATACTAATCCAGTTGATTTCAATCTGCTTGGGTGTTTTAATTCTTACTCGCTGATAACAACAGGTTTGTGAAAAAGGATGGGTTCTCCATTTTCGATCATGTTACCTTGTCCTCGACACCCCAACGCAGAATTGGACTGAGGCCTGCAGGATCTGCAAGAGCCACGGGGGAGATCTATCAGTAATCAGATCTGCAGATGAGAACAAATTCATAAGCAAATCAGTGCAAGACTCGCGTGTATGGATTGGACTTTACAGAAAATCGGACAGTAAGTTTTACTGGATTGACGATACTCCTGTGACAAGCCAATTTTCTTCATGGGCAGCTGGAGAACCGAACAATATATTGTTGT